GAATCGTTTTATAAAACTCGAGAATCGTTTTATAAAACTCGAGAATCGTTTTATAAAACTCGAGAATCGTTTTATAAAACTCGAGAATCGTTTTATAAAACTCGAGAATCGTTTTATAAAACTCGAGAATCATTTTATAAAACTCGAGAATCATTTTATAAAACTCGAAGATCGTTTTATAAAAACTTGAAGAATCGTTTTATAAAACTCGAGAATCATTTTATAAAACTCGAGAATCGTTTTATAAAACTCGAAGATCGTTTTATAAAAACTCGAAGAATCATTTTATAAAACTCGAGAATCATTTTATAAAACTCGAGAATCGTTTTATAAAACTCGAAGATCGTTTTATAGAACTCGAGAATCGTTTTACAAAACCGCGAAAAAACCGAAACCGCCGCAAAACGCAAACTAGTCACGACTAGTTCGCCTGCTGGCGAACTAAGCCAAGCTGGTTTAGTTCGACAGCAGGCGAACTAGAAGCTTCCCGACTTGTTCGCCTGCTGGCGAACAAAGCCAGCTTGGCTTAGTTCGCCAGCAGGCGAACTAGAAGCTTTCAACTAGTTCTCCTGCTGGCAAACTAAGCCAGCTCGGCTTAGTTCGCCAGCAGGCGAACTAGAGATCTCCCGGATCTCCCGCAGCCTCGATTCGAACCTTACGTCCTTTGACACGATCACATTCTGAACCACGGCCGAAATGTCTCTCGTTTCGTCTCGATCCGACTTATCGTTCGAATTCTACGATGAAAACCGTAAAACTCCGCTTTCTCGAAAAGAACTCGAAGAAATCGTATAAAACGGTAACGGTTAAGCAAGACACCGAACATCGCCTGAACTATACGAATTATCCGAGATTTTTCGTTAAGATCATAAAAAACGCGTTTGTAATAAAAAACGTCAAGAAAATCGTAAAAAACGGCATCGGATCAGGAAACGGTCTCGTATAAAGTCGAAAAACGGTTTTTATCGTAAAACGGCCCGAAAGGTCCTAAAACACGATAAAAACCCATCTCGCGACATTAACGAAATCAAACCCGAAGATACGATAACGTTTTGACGGTTTACTCGCAGATAGAAGACAAAAGGCAAGTTTGAAGATAAATAGAAGATTTCCGCGGAAGAAAAGGAAGGATCGACAGAAATGGAAAGTTTCCGATATATTCGGTTTCGAGCGAAATGGAAAGATTAAAACCGCCTAAGGAGGAGTATATAAGCAGGAGGCATAGGGCAGAAGCACAGACACGATTTTCAGAGCTCTCACCACCAAAATTAAAAAGAAACCAAGAAGAGCACGAAATTTCAAATTTGATAAGAGATGGATGGACAACGAGGAGCTTAGGCAAATTATACTTGAGGGATGAAAACTATCGAATCTCCCACCAGACGCAAGTATAATAGAGCATATTGCAAGTTGCCAGCGAGCCTTATGTGACTGGAAAAACCAACATAATCTCAATTCAAAGAAAAGTGTGGAGGAGTTGAAGGAAAAGGTGGATCGATTATTTTCAAATGATGATGACACTACAGAGGAGATTGCGGCAGCTTTAAAGGAACTGTCTGACACTCTTAAGGCGGAAGAGCTGTTTTGGAAGCAAAAGTGTAGGATATTCTAGTTAAGGGAAGGAGATAGAAATACTAAACTTTTTCACGCCCTCACGAAGCGGAGAAGAGGAAGGAACAGAATTGCTCAATTACTAGATAAAGATGGGAATGTGGTAGAGGATGAGGAAGGACTTGAAGCCATTGCTACAAGTTATTTTAGACACATTTTCCAATCATAAAATCATGAGGATATAGAGGAAGCACAATCTGAGGTTTCTACAAGCATTACGCTAGCAGATAATGGAAAAACTCACAGCTCCGGTCACCGAGTGAGAGGTTAAATTGGCTCTTTTTGCAATGCACCCAGAGAAAGTCCGAGGGCCGGATGGAATGACTGCGGTATTCTACCAGAAATTTTAGGATATTGTCAAGGATGATCTAACTCTTATGGTTAATCAACTCTTGTTTGAAGGCACGTTACCTACTGGTTTAAATGATACCAACATTTGCCTCATCCCAAAAGTAGATAACCCAAACCAGATGAGTCAGCTACGCCCCATCAGTCTATGTAACGTCAGTTACAAGATAATCTACAAGGTCCTATGCCAGAGATTAAAAGAGGTCCTACCAGACCGGATTTCAGAAACCCAATCAGCCTTTGTTGTTGAGAGACATATCTAAGAACATTATGATTGCTCAGGAGATGTTACATACGTTAAGAACCAAACCGAGTGGACGCAACAAAAGAATGGCCACTAAAACCGACATGAGTAAGGCGTACAATAGAATGGAATGGTCCTTCATCGAGGCTACCATGAGGAAGATGGGTTTTTCGAAAATCTGGATTGAATGAATAATGCGATGTGTAACATCAGTAAAGTACAAGGCTCTTATGAATGGCCAGCCACGAGGGAATATTGTCCCAGAGAGAGGTCTAAGGCAGGGGTATCCTCTGTCCCCTTTCATTTTTATTCTATGCACGGAAGCGCTCGTTAGACTTCTAAAGCACGCAGAGAGTCAAGGAAAGATAACGGGGATGCGCATCACACGTGCGTGTCCTTCGGTATCTCACCTTCTTTTTGTTGATGATAACATGTTCTTTTGTAAGGCGGAGCCCTGTGAATGTGAAGAAGTAATGAGAGTGGTCAGAAAATATGGACAAGCTTCAGGACAATACATTAATTTTGATAAATCTTCTATACTCTTTCGTAAGAGAATTGGACAGGATGTTAGGCAAGAGATTAAGGACACATTAGAGATTCAGAATGAAGGAGGGATGGAGACATACTTAGGAATCCCCGAGAATATCAGTGAATCCAAATGCAAGTTTTTTGCCTTCTTAAAGGATAAGATGTGGAATAAAGTAAATGGAAGGACGGGTAGATGGTTATCGAAAGGAGGCAAGGAAGTTATGATTAAGTCGATCCTCCTCGCACTCCCAACCTATGTAATGTCTTGCTTTCTCAGTCGATTGGAAATCTGTGATGCTTTAGCTAGTGTCGTTACACAGTTCTGGTGGAGTTCAAATCCCCCAAAAAAAGGTATACACTGGTCTACATGGGACAAATTATGCTTACCTAATTAGGAAGGAGGGATTAGGTTCATAATGATCCATGAGTTTAGTCTGGCGCTGTTAGCAAAGCAGCTGTGGAGATTGGTCCAGTACCCAGACTCTCTGGTAGCCCGTGTTTTGAGAGGCCGGTATTATCGTTTGAGCATGCTTTTGCGTCAACTTAATGTCAGTAGTCCATCGTATGTGTTTACAAGTTTATCGGCGGCACGAGAATTTCTATTGCTGGGAGTTAGACATAAAATACATTCGGGACATGAGGTGAGAGTATAGGAGGACCCATGGATTCCTACCATTCCAGCGAGACCAGCATTCCCATTGTACTGGTAATGCACCTGAACATGAGAGTGAGTGATTTAATTAATCAAGAGACTAAGGCTTGGGATGTGGGCCGATTGGAGAACTATGTAGCTGCTGCTGATATACCACTCATAAGGAGTATTGCCATTAGTTCAACACATCGCAGGGATACATACTGCTGGAGCTATAGAAGAAATAGACAATACACAGTCAAATCTGAATATTGGGTTACATGAAATATATTGATGAAGGAGGAGGAAGATGTAGTTTGTGAACCTAGTATCACAAAACTTCAAGAACATGCTTAGAAGATTAAGGCGCCCCAGAAGATGTGCCATCTTTTGTGGCAAATTATAACATGTCATGTGGCTGTTACAAGTACTTTGAACTATAGACATATGAGATGTGACAATCACTGTCCACGATGTGGAGAGCCAGAAGAATCAGTTACTCATGCAATTTTCGAGTGTCCACCTGCAATGAAAGTTTGGGCCTTATCATCTACACCTACCAATCCTACCTTTTCCATTACAGAGCACGTATGCGAATATGGATTATCTCTTCTGGAGGAAAAGTGCCATATTGGAACTGGAAATGGACATGGATCCTTATCCCTGACTAATATGGTATATCTGGAAAGCTCGGAACGATAAGATGTTTAGAGGAATCGATAGAGATCCTTTAAAGCTAGCCCGATACACAGAGAGTGAGTGTCAGGCCTGGTTCCAAGCCAGTGAGCAGACTATATCGCCATCTCAAGGAAAATATAGATGTTGAAAGCCAGGCCATAAGTCTAAAAAAGATTTGTATGGTAGATGGCTCTTGGACCTCTACAGATCATTTCAGTGGATGTGATTGGGTATGGAATGACAGTATGGGAAATAATCAGCTAATGGGGTTGCATAATTTCAATAGAGTGGAATCTCCTTTGCACTCTAAGCTGGAAGGTAATAAATCAACCTTTTGATGCCAAAAAAAAAATGTTAAAGGTAAAGTAGTGGTAAAACAAGTGGAAGTTTTCAAAATGTTTCCCTTAGAATGTTTCTTGCAGAGTGTTTCAGAATGTTCCCAATTACAACTACATGACCTGCACAACTCTTACATTTCCATAAACAACAGAAACCTTCAGAGAGCATTCTTTAGAGGAAGCGTGTTGGTATGTACTCGCCAACTCTGATAGATGTGATTGGGTATAGAATAACACTATGGAAAATAATCAGCTAATAAGGTTGCGTAATTTCGATAGGGTAAAGTCTACTTTGCACTCTAAGCTAGAAGGTAATATAAATTAATCTTTTGATGCCAAAAAAAAATGTTAAAAGGTAAAGTAGTGGTAAAACCAGTGAAAGTTTTCAACTCACAATGTTTCCTGCCCAGCCCCCAATTGCCCAGCTCCCAATTGCCCAGCCCCCAATTACAACTACATGACCTGCACAACTCTTACATTTCCATAAACAAAAGAAACCTTCAGAGAGCAGTCTTCAGAGGAAGCGTGTTGGTATGTACTCGCCAACTCTGATAGATGTGATTGGGTATAGAATAACAGCATGGAAAATAATCAGTTAATGAGATTGCGTAATTTCGATAGGGTAAAATCTATTTTGCACTTTAAACTGGAAGGTAATAAATCAACCTTTTGATGCCAAAAACAAAATGTTAAAAGGTAAAGTAGTGGTAAAACAAGTGGAAGTTTTCAACTCACAATGTTTCCTGCCCAGCCCCCAATTACAACTACATGACCTGCACAACTCTTACATTTCCATAAACAAAAGAAACCTTCAGAGAGCAGTCTTCAGAGGAAGCGTGTTGGTATGTACTCGCCAACTCTGAGGGGAAAACTGTAAAACTCTTCGTTCCTGCTATCTCCGTTCCTGTGTTGAAACGGCTTCCACCACGGGATTCCTCTTTCATTGATGGCATGCCTTGCTTCCAACGTGTTATCTAGTACTGTCGCCACAATGATCGCAACAAACGGAGCCGAAGCAAAGATCGTGTTAAGTATATCGTTGAACTGCACCACAAGTCACCATGACATTGCATTAAGAAAAATAAACATCATTTCGTGTAAGTATTATGTCACTCTTCCGTTAAACATCAATTTATATTTGGAGTTTTAAAAATATTGTCATTAGATATTTAAAAAAGCTTACCCATCCACCAGCTGTTCTAACCGGTCCATATCCTCCCCTTGTAGTGTTGGAAATGAAGTACTGAGCGATGGAAAGACTTAAGAAGAGAGAGACACCAATAACGTACATGTTTCTCATTGAATTGGTGTCGGTAAACTGTATAAACGATATACCCACAGCCGCTGTGCCAATCACGTAACAAGATTATCAGAAGCAGTTCCTACATTGTGAGAAAAACACATGATACTCACCAACAATTCCAAGTAGTATACAGTATACACCGGCAAAGATCGGAAGTGGTATAGACGCGAAGAAGGCACCAAATTTTCCTATAGATCATTAAATACATTCAAATTTAAAACTCTAAATAGGAACTTTCTATTAACTGAACCCTGTGAAAGACGACTGACTGGGAGGGGAAAGACTAACCAAATATGGCGAAAAATATCATGAAACCTGTTGAGATCTGCACCACTCTTCTACTCCCTATTCGTGTGAGTCCAAGGAGACCGACATTTTCGCTGTACATAAGATCTTATGGCTTTTAAAAATCAAAATGAACAGTATACTTCATCAAAAGAAAAGCTGATAGGAGAGGTATTTACAACTTACACTGACGCAGTATTGCCACTAATGGAACCAAATATTCCTTCAAGGAGCACACCAACACCCTATATGGAATATATGACACATTAAACCAATTATTTTAAACATTGGAAGATGAAGAGAGTATGGGATTAAAACCTGCAGCCCGACACTGCGAGAGACGACATGTGCAGGAGGTGCTGTTGCTCCAGCTAGTCTAGATGCGGCTAAAAATACTCCAGTTGACTAAAAAGTTGGGATACACAAATCAACCTTAAGAACAATTTGTATCTCGAGGAGCTAGAAGGCCAGAAATGAATGTGTGGTTGTACCTCTGCAGATGCAACAATCGAAGCACCGAACATTCCGAAAACATGACTCGCTCTGAAAATCGGAGTCCCCCACTGGAAAGGGTATGGGATGCTAATCCTGTAGAATGAGAATGAGCAACCGACTCTAAAGATATCTGACCTTGGAGGAAAAAACAAGCATTAAGAAACGAACCAAGGAGCAGAGGACATAAGAAAAGAGCGATCTGTGCGGCAACTTAGTTTTGTTGCAACGGAGACGTTGTTATAAGCGCCAGAAACCGTAAGGATAGCAGCAAAAGCCCAGATGAGCGCCAAGCAAACAAGTAGAGCATATCTTTCAAGTATCATTTGAATCCTTGGGAGAAGAAGTCTAAGATACTGCAAGATGGACAGAAATATTCATAATTATTTATAGATGTAAAAGGATCACCATCATGTGCAGAGCTAAAACCAAAAACAAAAGGCCAACTTGTTGGGAGACGATCAGGAGAATCAGCATTGGTAGACCAATTTCCACACAGTTTGCAAGCTGTAAAACCCAAAATATTACTTGGGAACTGATAGGAAAAAGTTGTTAAAAGCTGATTGTATTTAAGTTGGAACTGTTACCAATGGGAACCCTCTAACGAAAAGTCCAAGACTCGTAAGAGTAACCACCGGCACAACAATAATGGGACTAAAGATTCTGCATTGAAGAAACAAGTATCTCAAAATATTACAACTTCTACCAGCTTATAAACAATTTTTTTTTCTTCAAACAGCTATTTTATTACTCAACCAGCTTATGAACAATTAATACTCTATATACTGATTTTATATTACCTGATCAAGTTCCCCCATGCTTGACCGTATCCAATTATGATGCTGACGAATGAAGAAATGATTAGGGATCCTTGTACTGTTCTCATTGTATGCCGGAACCTCTGTAAGAACATCAAGACCCCGACAAAAAGGGCAATGGCATTTGTCAGACAAAATCAAGTAAACGAAACAAAAGTAGAGCAGAACTATCAGAGTTTTTAACCTGCTTCTCGGATGGGAACTGACCATCGTTGTAATCCCTGATGATAGACAATACAGGGAGAACATACGCGAATGAAACTCCCATAACTGTGGGAAGCCTTGTTCCTATAAGGGTTTGTAGTAGCGTGTTTATCCCCGACATAAACAATATTGTCTGTATAACCCGCGCTTTATCTTCCTATTTTTGTTAACAAATATAAAAAACAATCCATTTTAGAAAACAAAATAGTCCATAAATATTCGAAAGCCAAAAGAAGAAAACATACTGCATCTCCACCCATTGGGAGCACAAGTGTGTTGGCAATCAAAACCGTAGTCCCAAGCATCACGATGTAATGCTGGAAAGCAAGTACAACCGTCTCATCTGTATGTAGAGAAAGCCAAATTTATCAAATATAATGAAAATGAAACAAACTCAGATTTTTTTTTTTAAGAGAGAGAATAATTCTTTATAGAAAATAAGTGATAACATACCAACCAGGCAGATGCTTTAATCTTAATATACAATTGAAGAGAGGTATACTATATACCACTGAAATTAATTAGTATGGCTCAAGAACAATATGCAAGAGTCTTAAATTTAAAAACACTCCCCAGAAGCTTTTATATAATTAGATAGAAGACACAAAAGCATCGAATCTGATTCTGAGATCTAAAAGATTATTCTAGACACAACAGAAAGCTAAGAAAGCCAAAGCCTATAAGGAGAGGGAGAGAGAGAGATAGGAGTAGACTAATGCAACTTTTGACTTTATAAAGTCTTTGGATCGGAATATTCAATTAAGAAAGTAGAGAGAGAAAGAGACTAACGCCAAGAAGGGTTAGAGTGGATGCAGTACTGAAGATGGTGGAGTTGCTCCGCTGGAGTCCAAGTGGGTCCTCTTGAAATCGCCATAGATGGAACCGGCGGAGGACCGGCTGCAGCCGGCACCGGTGGATGTTGATGATGGTGACCCGTTTCTACCATTCTTTAATAGAAGATCTCTTCTTTTCTAGGAATCTACTTTTGTAGTTGCAGAAAGTTTTCCAAATCAAACAGACAAGGAGAAGATGATAAAAAGAAGTTCGAAGCAGAAAAGCGAATCTCAAGACAAAGGATTAATAAGACGAAGAAAATAAAGGTCCAAAATAAAGTCGCTTGTTTGCTTCGTAGGAGGTGGAACATAATTAAATATGTATATTTTTATTTTATACTATTACGTATAAATCATTTTAGAATAAAGTATTAACTCGCCGTTAGTTGTAAGTTTGAATTGTTTATTTAGTACTGTACTTACTCATTATTAAGGCGAATAATGAAGTTTCTTTTTGTCTTCCTCTTCTTGCCTTCTCCAGGATTCTTTGTGGGTATTTGACTAGACTTGAATTTTTTGAATAAACATATGGGCAAATCTCCCATAAGAGTTTTCTTGACCAAAACAACATGACAAGAAGAAAATGTTCAAAATATTTCATTATTAAGGTAAAAGAATTGTATACTTTTACTCTATAAATATAAAAATTTAAACAAAATCAAAATAATATAAATAAAACATTTTAAATAAACATATAGTTTTTTGTCATCAATGAAAAATACATATCTATGACGACTGTGCAAACCAAATTGGGAACTCTGAATCCATATGTACGACGAGGCTCAATTGTTTTCAAGCACTGGGTACAAGGCTATCCTCTCTTAAGTGCATCGTTCTTGGTATATTCTAAATAACTTGCAAAACATGGTCATTCTTCTGGTTCTGAAACCATATTGACCAATTAAGAACAATATGTTGCAAATGTGACATGATACTGATGTAAATTCCTCATACATTTCATTGCCCATATAAAGGCCTCCATTTCTGAATGTAGGGGTGAAAAGACTGGCTCTAATATTTCATGACCCTAATGAACCTTCAAAGTCCTCAAGGGTGCTATACCATCCTTGTCCCGAATATGTTTCCTTATCGTTTCATGATTCATCTATAAAGCACCATCTTCGTGGGATATGAGGCAAGGTCGTAGTTTCAGTTCCCACACTCTGAGTTATTCTTTGTGAGATTGTAGGTTGTGCCTCATCCCAAAGTAGCGGTTCTGTTTCCGCAAGCATGAGTGTCTCTCTGGGATCAAAATCTATGTTACTGAATGTCTTGTTATTCTTCTCTTTCCAGATATACCATAAGATCCAAACAAATTGATGATCCTCCATTTGTGGAAAAAACTCTCCAAAATAGATAGCCCATATTTGTGAAGGGTGATTGTTTTGGGAAAAAATCAGGATTTGATGGGATCCATAAAAGTGTCCAAACTTGGATCTCTGGTAGACATTCAAAGAAGACATGATTCACTGATTCTTCTAATTCACCACAGCGAGAACAACATATATCACAGATAATTCCTCTTCTATGTAAATTTTTCTTTACCGCAAGACACCCTGACACGATTTACCTTAAGAAATGCTTGATTTTTCGTGGACATCGACTTTTTCAACAATATGCCTTAAGAGCATCAACTGTAGGTCCATATATAGTTAGTGGGTTTTTTCTATCTGGGTATATTCGCTCCACCTGATATCCAGATTTAATAGTGTATTTTCCATTTTTCGTAAAATGCTAGCCATCTCTATCAATCAAGTGAGTCTGACTTAGAGGTATACTTTGAATAATATGTATATCCTGAGGATCCACAAGAACCAGAATTGTATGTAAGTTCTATGAACGTAAATTCGTATTAATGAGAGAATCCAAGGTAAGGTTAGGGAAAATTTTTTTGTTGATTTTTATTTGTTGGTCCCAGGCGAGTGGTTGGGAGGCAAAGTTCCATTTTGGAATGAATGATCTTGATCCCACCCATTTAATTAGTCTTTTGTTAACCAGAGATCTAGCAGAGATATTACTGTGCCAACCATATGATGGTGAGTATGATTTAATCGGTTCCAAGGGTGATGAATTTTGGACCGTCCTTTAAACACCCTAGAAAAAAAAGTATTCAACTTTTCTATCAAACACCATAACTGCTTTTCAAGCATCGCCGTATTGAAATATATGATGTCTTTAAATATTAAACCTCCGTCATACTTGGGCATACATAATTTGTCCCATGATTTCCAATGTAATCCTATCTTACCTCCTCCCGGGCTCCACCAAAATTGTGCTACTGCGCTCGTCTATTTTTGTGTCACTACTTTTTGGTATCTGATAGCACGACATGACGTGATTAGGTAAGACCGTGACCACATAATTCATAATCACTTCCTTTCCTCTTTTAGTAAAAAAACTTGAAACTCCATTCATTGACATGATTATTCAGTCTTTCCTGAACAAACCAAAAAAACTTGTGTTTTTGGTCCTCTCAAGCTTTTAAAGTCTAAATATGATCCCATTTCACCTCTATTTTGAATGCTTAAAATATCTTCATCTATCTTGTATCCAAATTGAATAGAAGATTTGTGAAAGTTAATCAACTGTCCTGAAACTGCCTCATACTCCTTTAAAATTCTGAGAATGGTTTGATAGTAGATGAGAATCAATGGGCAGACTCTTGCGACCTTCAAACCAGTCCATTGTCTATCTATCTCCGCTTTCTTAATATTGGCTATTAGAGCATCGGTACACATAATGAATAAATAAGGCGACAATGGGTCCCTTGTTGTGGTCCTCGCTGTGGGATAATATATCCTTGTGGCTGACCATTGGTATTGAACCGAAGATGTACACTTCATCATCAGTTGGTCCCATTTGGGATCAAAAGCCATCTTTTGAAGTAAAGCCGCAATAAACATTCGTTCTATCATGTCGTAAGCTTTACTCATGTTTGTTTTAATTACCATATACTTACTTTGACATGACTTGTTTGTCCTCAACACATGAAACATTTCATGTGCAATAAGAACGTTATCCGAGATAAATCTTCATGCCACGAAAGCGGATTGTGTCTTCGAGATGAGTGAAGGTAAACAACTCATCAATCTCTGACATAAAACTGATATACCATGATTTTGACCCACTTTTAGTCATGGTATATTGATATTTTTATAACTATTTATTATACTATAGAAGCTTTTAAGCATATTTATAGGTTCAGGAGTATTTTGGAAAAAGTGATGTTTTGGAGTATTTTAGAGAGAATTGGAGAAATCACTCGATTTGGATATCGACAATACAACGAGGTTGACACAGAGTGATCAATATTGATCGATATGATCAATGCATTATCGATCGATGCCGAAGGGGCAGAAGACCAAACCGCGAAGCAGCCGGCTTGAAACCCAAGACTTCACCAAATTACAATTATGCCCCTTACGAGTTTTAACCTAAAGTATTTATACTTTGCAAGGTGTTTTAGGCAAAGAGGAGATTTATTCTTTTATTTTTACACAGCAAAAGTTTTTTAGGATTTTTAGTTTGGGAGAGAAGATCCAGAGAGATTTGTGATTGGAACTCCATTGTTTTCTATCTATCTTTATTTAAGCAGGTTTAATTACCTTGCTTGTGTTATGATTTGCTTAGCTATGTCTGACTAATTCTCTTGTTAGAGTTAGGGTTTAAATAGGTTAGTGGTATTAGCCTCAACTATAGGATCGCTTGATGTGATATTCATTAATAGGATGTTCTTAATGTTTATGTTCTAGACTTGCTAACTAGAAATCTGAACCTGGGAGTTTTAGATTGCTTAAGCAACCTTTTGACAATTCAAATTATCATGAATCCACTCTATTAAGCTAGGTTTTTATTAGAAACAGGGCGAGAGTTTGATCTAGGGATCCATAGTGAGTATAGATTAACTCGCGAATAAAGCTTAACTAGCTGCATCGATCGATATTCCCATCGGAAATCGATCGACGTCGAGTAAAGTATATCAATCGTTAGCGCCGTTGTCGGGGAGTTTTGATCGCCATTAGATTTAGTCTGACAGTTCTAGGTTTTCCTTTTTCTTTACCATCTTCTGACATAAATTTTTTTCTTCACTTTTCAGGTGTATGCACAGCATTACTAGAAGCAACAAAGAAAAACAACTACATTTTCGGAAGACCCATCAAGCTTGGAATATTCGATCCGCAAAGACCTACGCTCCACGTTGATCATTAGCAACACTCGCATATCGATCGTTTCTCCACCATCGTCAACCGATCTCGCTCATACATCGATCGACATCAACACTTCTTCGTCGACCGATTTCATTTACTCGACATCGATTGATACCACACATCGTACATCGATCGATACTCAGCCGCGAGATATGGTTGTGATTCTGATATTCACGCCAGGTCAGAGACTAGATGATCAGAGCACTGTAATCCGTGAACTTGACAATGATGAGGCCACTCGACCCAAGACCTTGGCAGATTACAACTGTCCAGACCAGTACTATGCCAACATGTCAGCTATTCGTCTTCCAGACGTCCAGAGGGATAATTTTGAGTTAAAGCCCCAGTACTACACACTTGTGGCACAGATACTCTACTATGGGTTACCCCACAAGCATCTTATAGACCATCTTGAGAGGTTCGAGGATCTTATTGCTGCTATTAGAGTTAAAGGAATCCCTGAGGGTTACCTACTTTCCAAGTTCTTCAAGTACTCATTTGCTGGAGATGCAGCGCATTGGCTCAAGCAGCTACCACTAGAATCTCTTACATCTTGGGCCGACTTCAAGAATGCGTTCCTGCGCAACTTCTTTGATGAGGCACGAGCTGAAGAACTGAGGAGGAAAATTTCTACTTTTACACAGAAAGCTGGAGAGTCCTTCAAAGACTCTTGGATCAGATTCAAGTTCTTTCAGTGTGACTGTCCACACCATGGATTGAATGAGGTTCACTACCAAGCACTTTCTTTAGAGGAATCGCTTTGAAATATCAGATGACTCTTGATACAGCAAGCGACGGGAACTTCAACACCCAGAATCCAGAAGAGACTGTGAAACTTATTGAGAATCTAGCAAACAGCAGCAGCACCAAGAACACTAACTCTGAAAGGAAGAAATATGTGGCATTCCTTGGAAAGGAGCAAATGGAGGAAGTGAAAGCTAAGTTGGACGTTGTCAACCAATTGCTTATGAGGAAAGTCTGCTTAGGTGATGATGCATAAGCTATAGATACAGAGCTAGAGGCAGATGTGAATTACATTAAAGGTACTGGATTTCAGAGGTCTAAAAATCAGGTTGG